TTAACTTAATGGAGGATTTTGAGGATTGGAGGAATACCTTCTCTAATGGCCAGATAAATTGAGAGTTGAATGTGTCTCAAAATCATATGTCTCTGCCCAATTCATCATATTCTTTATAACATTAGTTCCAAGTTTGTACTAGTGAAATTGGGCAAAATGCCAAATCCTTCCCTCTGTTCAAAAGTCAGGTGTTCTTGTAAGAGAGGAATACCTTTTGTATGAATCTGTTGTAGCAAAAGCAAAGCTGTAAAATCCTTTAAAACCAATTTTACCTTTTAGGAGATGTCAGATATCTCAGTTTCCTCTATGTGCTTTGCTTTCTTGGTTTGACAAGATAATTATAGCATAGTGTTTCAGTGTTATAACAGAAATGGAAGCAAATAAAGTATATTTTATGTTTTCTGTCACTCCTTCCTGATATATATATATATATATATATATATATATATATATATCTCCTTTATAAAAAAATTAGAATAGGTCACACCCTTTTTGAATAGATAAAATACTATATTTAATGCTTTTTAATTTAATTTAAATTTAATCATTTTAAATGTATTCTTTTTTAACATATTCATATTGGCTTTCAACATGTGAGATATCATTGTCATAAGCTCTATACCAGTCTTGTAGTGAAGAGGAAGAGCTAGTCATGGGCAATAATCCTTTTGGTGTATTGGAGGAAAAATAGGTCTATATAAGTATAAAAAAATCCATATATTTATTGAAATATATCCATATGTGTAATTCATAGATACATAAAATGTTGCTATACAGATGCTTATATAAAGTAAATAAATAGGCAGTGAAATCTTTATAAGTAATAAAACTTATAAGTGGTAATTGCATACAAATTCTATTAAGAAATACAAAAGAATCAAAATGTTTCATATATTCTCTCATTTGATTATTAACTCTGCAAAGTAGATACTATCACCCTTTTTTCAGATAAAGAAAGAAATTCAGGGAAATTTATTTATGTTGCCCATTGTCACCCACTGGAAGGTTCAAACACTCGCCTGCTAATTCCAAAATACACGTCCTTTCCATTCTTCCCTGCAGTGTCAAGCATAACGTTTTAAAATATTCTAAGGCCAGCCATGGTGGCTGACACCTGTAATCCTAGCACCTTGGGAGGTCAGGGTAGTAGGATCACTTGAGACCAGGAGTTTGAGATGAGTTTGGGGAACATAGACCCCTATCTCTAAATAATTTTTATTCTGTTATCTCATTTTATGGCTACTGTTATCTCATTTTATGGCTAACTATTCTGTTATCTCATTTTATATTAAGTTGTACAGTAATATTCAATTTGACCAACAAGGTTATTAAAGCTCAAGGAAGTAAGGTGAGGTGTCTGAACTGGATCAGTTCTCCAGGAGCCTGTCACAGTCTGCAACACCACACTGAGGCCCCCCAGGTCTGTGTTCTTGTCCCTAGTCCACACCATCTCTACTTGGCTTCTCCTCCACTTACCACTCTTAACAGCATGCATTTCTCTTCAGTAGTTTATAAGACTTGCTGCCTATTGAACATGTATAGAATTATTGCTATTTCCATTTCCCACCATCTAAAATAATAATTGCCCCGAAACAAGGAAGACAAACCATAGCCATTTTTATTCTGAGAATGTAGAATTGAGCTCTTCATTTTCCATACCATGCCAAACACTGTTAATTAGATTTAACTTAATTGGATTAGAGCCGAAGGGGCACATTTTCTCTTGTCTAGGTAACCTCTCCTTTCTTGCTTAATCTTCATAAAACATCATGTGTTTATTAGAAAGATTGCTTGCATCCCTGGGAATACAGTTAGTATAGCTGGTGACTCTAGAGAAGTCTGGAAGTGAGATAACGATTCCGGGTGTGATAGGAAGGTATATTTCAAAGTAATGTAGAATAAATCAAGAAGACACAGTGCTGAATCTTGAGTTATTTCTAGAAATGGGGGCTTCAAATATGAACAGAAAATAGACACTTGAGTTCCTTACCGACTGACTTAGTGGATCATCCATGGGGATTTGAGACCCAGTTTTGTCTACTACTCACAGGTATATTGAAGAACTAATCCATCCTAAAATCAACTTTGAAGCCAATTTCAAATAGACAGAAAATGGTAAATCTTTTATTGGCTTGAGTATATTTTCAACTTGTTGCTTTTCTGGGGTTGGAACATGCTAAAAATTAATTTACCTTTGCCTTACTCATCGTGTCTCTTATCTGCACTTCTTATTTCTATTTGCATAAGGTCTTGAAAGTTTAGAATCACTGAGAAAAAATTATCCTTTAAAGTATGTCCTTAAGGACCACAGTATAATACAGGGGTCCTCAAACTTTTTAAACAGGAGGCCAGTTCACTGTCCCTCAGACCGTTGGAGGGCCATTGGAGAGTGCAGCGCACATTCCACACATGTGCACTGTGGGCCCTGGATGAGTCGGCTGCTAAACAAGCCAGGCATCGCAGCAAAAACACCCGGCGGGCCGGATAAATGTCCTCGGCAGGCCGCATGTGGCCCATGGGCCGTAGTTTGAGGACGCCTGGTATACTAAATAGTTAACTTAGAACTTAGATCATGAAAACAATAATAGACAACATAGCATAACTTAGCTGTATGCAGTTAGATATTACCAAGTGGGCAAGGAATTTATTTCCATAGTTGTCAAAAATATAATCATCTTGAACCTTATGTTCTACTCCTATTTTGACCCATTGTATAGTCAGATAAGTACATTACAATCTATAAAGTCTGATTGAATCAGTTTTTCACACACTGTACAAACAGTTCATGCATTTGACAAAGAGTTGGAGAACATCTTCCAGCTTCTTCTCAATGTAAGATTCTAAGTTTGTAACATAAAGAGAAACGAACTAAAAAGTTTTATTGGAATAATTTACTGGTGGAAAAATTGATTTCTTGGCTTGTGAAGTAAAGACTGAAATTCGAATCAGATGAATGGTATGTATTATATGTCTAAGCTATTTTAAAAGTTGGTCTATTAGGAAAAAAAGTGCAACTGGTTTCTTATATAGTTACTATTCAGTAGGAGAATGATTTCTCCAATGGTGAAATGTTTGTCTCTGTATATATAACTCAATTCTCAATTCAGTAACATGTTTGCACTCATGTTTTTTTTGTTGTTTTTTTTATCTTACTGAACATTGCTTTTTTTTTTATTTCGGCATATTATGGGGGTACAGATTTTACGGTTTCAATAAATGCCCATTTCCCCCCCTTCCCCCCAAGTCTGAGTCTCCATCATGACCATCCCCCATGCATCCATGTTTTTGATTTAGTGAAGTAACAGGTAGAAACAACATAGGAAAGAGCTTCCATGAGTACATAAAGATTATGAGTTCTGGTCTGAGTGAACTGTCTTTTGAGATTAACAAAATATATCAAGTGAATATGTGTATAAATAATGCTGTATTGGGACTTTTTTTTTCTTGTCTAGTCATACTAACACTGATTATGTTGCTAAGTCTAGCTACTTTAATTGGCAAAGAAGAAAAATGCGATTTAACATATTAACTATTTTGGTGTGAATGAATAATTCTGGGAACTTTCAAACTAAACTTGGCTACTTGAAAAAATAATTTACACATCTATCTAATTAATATCCAATAGTTTCTCTTTATCTAAGTAGATGGCTAATATTTCCCCCTTTATTTATGAAAACAATTTTCTTTTGTATGTAACATCAAATCACAGGAAAATGTTCCTAACTTCGGAGATGGACGATAACATTACTCCCAACTGGAATGGCACTTAGGTCTTTGTAGGCATGTTGGTGAATTTAAGGCATCTGGGAAAACTGATTCTAACTCATTGCCCCTGAGAAAATACTTCTGCTTATAACAGTTCCTTCACAAAACAAAAAAATCAGCTATAGTGGCATAAATTTTACTTCCCTGCTGCCTTTGATCCTAAGATCACAGATAGTAATTAACAGAGTGAGAAATTTTAACTGAGACTACCCTCTACATTCCCCAATTTATTGTGATATTTATTTAATGGATTAAGCTGCACATGGGTTGTCTCCATTGTTCTTGTTCTTTACTAAAATAAAGCACTACAAGCATAAATAATAATGTGCTTATTTCCTAGATAAGGAAAAGGGGAGTTTGTGTAGTTCAAGTATAATACTTGCCTAAGGTCATGTAACACTGGATGGCGAATCTGGGATTTGAACCTAGATCTCTTTCCTAAGTCTATGTTACTGCCTATACTGACTCCAGACAGGAAAAAAAGTCACATTTTTCTTTCTTTTTTTCTCTCCTTCCTTCCCTTCCTTCCATCAAATCAAAGAAACTAAACCCCCTCCTATTTGTAAAGGAAAGTCTTCTCCTATCATTTCTATTCATCCGTTACTTTTAAAGGTGTGCAGTAGACCGGATGCTCTGCTAGGCACCCCGGAGTGCTGCACGGTTTTGAATACTGTCCCAGTACCGCGTGGTGTGTAGAATTATATCACACAATAGCAGTCGCTGGTTTCCTGAAAAGTAGAACAGGGCACTGTCTCTTAAAAACTTACACTAAACTAAACAAGGGCAAATTGAAATTGTCCTTTGTTCTGCTTCAGTTCACCAGTTCTGAATCTTCTTTTGGGAATTGCTGGTAGAGAGCAAGTTCCCAATCATAGCTACTATTTTTAGTTTCATAAAGACTCTTGTGTCTATAAATGGTATTCCCTTTGTTGAGGCTAATGTCTTAAATGCAGTCCAAAATCAATTATCTATTATGTGCGAGCAGGCTACCCATTAAAAGGTGACTGCTCTCTTTTGTGTATGCTTACCTGTATCTGGCACCTACACCACAGGCAAGGAATAGAGACAGTTACTGGTGCTTTTCTGGGAGTAGCTTAAGCCAACATTTTTCATGTACCTGTTTTCATTTCTCTCTGTCCAAAAAGTATTATTTAAACTTTTCAACATTTAGGCATAAAGGAAATGAATATAATAGATTCTCTTATAATTTTCTCCATAAGGGAATCTCAAAAAAAGAGAGAGAGAGAGAGAGAGAGAGTGCAGACACCCCCAGTGGCTGTCATTTCTAACTCCTAGCAGGAACTTCAAGCCCAAGATGTCTTTTCACAAAGTGCTGTACAATTCTTAATTATCAAATGTCGAATTTCAGCCATTCTGCAAATACTACTTAGCCAAACTGTGATGGCAGCAATATACATCTTGTTAAAGACCCTGAAGTTAAATTACTGCTGCACTATTTTCCTTCAAGGCTAACTAGTTAGTTATGGTGGAAGTGAGCTATTGACTGGGGTCTTCTCATTCCTCTAGACTTCCTTTATTATTTTAAATGATCTCTTGAGCTAAGGGGCAGCAATTTGCATTCTTTGTTCAATGAATTCTACCTGGTAGTCTTGTCTATAATTTCTCTTGTGAAGGGAACAGAAAGAGAAATAAATTGTCTCTTGAAAACTCATGGCTTTATCAACTTCTGTCACAGAAATGCTATAGATTTCAATTTCCTTGAGTAAAGGACTATTTAATAACAGAAAGTTCTGTATTCTAACAATTTTGAAGGAGGAGGTTATTTTTTTTTCTCCCACTCTTTCTCACTCTTTCTTGCTCTTGACTGTGCTTTATCTAAAACCTTGATTTCCCCCATTGCTTTTATGGGAATTCCTCTGAAAGACATAAAATGCCTCTCTCCATAGGAAGTCCTCACATAGGAGACAGCTCTTTCCATCTGTATATTTTACTTGCCTTGCGTGTGGTTTTCTCATTCAAATGTACAGCTCACCATGCTCCAATGCAACTTACTAGAGTCTCCTAGAAAATGCATGTTATCAGCCTTACTTGTAGGTCTGATGTTTTAAGGGACAAGCTGACAATCCATGGCCAGAGGAGGCCATTGAGGAAACAGGTTTGATTGAAGTCCTGACACAGTTGTTGACAGCATAATTAAAATGATTAATTTGGAGTAAGAGAGTGTTTCAAACTAATTAGAAAAATGGTTTGGTTATACCCCCAGACTGTACACGTGGCCAGAGGAGCCAACTTTTTGATATAGAAAAGGGAAAAGTGAAGATATATGTTAAAATTGTGTCATTGTTCTTTTATCAAGAAGATCCTGCAAAGTTAAATAGTTATGAGTTATTTTTATGTTGTTGTTTGTGTGTGTGTGTGTGTGTGTGTGTGTCTGTGTGAGTCTTTGGGTTTATTATCTCAGCTCCTTTTGCAAGGCTGCTGACTAAAGATATAGCTATGTTCGGGAAACAGAGGGAATATGTGCACACAACTAAAGGCGGCTCATATTAATATAAATTAATTCTCGGTCAAAATGACTGCTTGCTTGTTGCTACGTTAGAGGGAATACAACTACACAAAAACACCAGCAGAAGACTTAGCACATAGTAGGGGCTTAGTGTGTGTGTGTGTGTGTTTGTGTTTGTGTTTGTGTTTGTGTATGCACAGAGGCAACCAAAACAATGTTTTTGATTATGACAGATTAGTAGGACTGTGCAGTTTTGCTTCCAGTTTACGTTTTTGTTTTATTGGTTGTTTCTGTTGTATTGTGAATTCCAGTGAAGGTAATTAGATCTTATACGTTCAAAAGACCTGAATTATCATGGACCGGATTGCAGATTATCAGTAAGCATTGGCAAGGGCCTATTTCAGGCCTCTTTGCATATGCAACTTAGTTAAAACATTTCTGGGTTTCAGTAAAAGCTAACATATGATTTTGTGGGGTTGGAGCTCTTAGGGCACAAAGAAAATATTACATAAAAGAACCCCTTTGGCCTGCAAGCATAACATTTTAATAGCTGTTGACCGTAACTTTCTAACTGAAAGTGATATGAAAAACAAATTCTTGCTAGACTTCAGGTTTTTCAGTTTTTGCTCTGTAAAGCCTGGTAGTGGGTTTTCGCTTAATGCCCTTGCTCCATGAAAAAGGAGTTTCACAAAGAATGTCGGGAATTCCTTTGGTGCCCAGAAGGAAATATGAGGACTCTGGAGGCTGATGAGAAAGACAAAAAAAATGGGGAAGCCATAAACTTCATGCCAATTCCTGCAATGTGTTTCATTTTCTTTTCAAAATAAGATCTGAAATGATTTAAAAGAATTTTTAAGAAGCATCAAGTTAACTTTCTAGCTAGCACTTTCATGTTTAACAAAAGTCAGTATTCTTTAAATGACAGATAAACATGTATAGGTAAGTGTACTATTTCTATATTTGTAATTTTTAAATATATTTAATATATAGGTTCCATTTTTTGCATGCAGGTTACAGACTAAAATACACAGGGGAAAGGGTGGTCTAGGGATCTTTTTGCTTTAATTTAATAAAACTAAACTTGTAATCCTGTTAAATTATAGTCTTATCTTGTATATTCTTGATAATTAAAGTTATTTTCTATGGGGTGTGTGTTCATGATGGGGGAAAATGGTCTGTTGGGAAGAATGGCATTTTGACGAATCACAGGAAATAGTCAATTATGTGGATTCCACACAATTCCCAAGGCTATGACAAAGATTTCACCCCTGAAATTCATGAACCAAGGTCTAGAGGGAGTTTGGATGGAATTACAATTCAATTGGTTTACTTTGGGAGGAGTACAGGGTGGGGACAGAATTAAATGTTTAGTTTATTTCTCCAAACAAAACCTGTTGTGACAGCACTCTTAAAAGAGAGACAGAATGCAAAGTTGTTTTTTTACACACAGTATTTTTTTGCAGTACGAAGCACTGAAGCATTCAAGATGATATAGGCCTTTAAAAAGTTTACAGTGGTGATCATAATAATAGCCTATTCAAAACACTTCAGAAAGGAACAAAACTGTACACGAGAATGGGGTTGACTATATATGTACATAAAGTGGTAATGAAGTAAAACAACAAATGACTTTTCCTGGATCCTGAATACTTGCAATTTACTGAGTTTTAGGATTTCTTTTTCCGTAAAGTTGAAAACCTTATCTTTTCCCCCTCAGTATTCTTGTTTTCCTCTTGTTTCAAGACTTTTGCCTGCCTTGTCAATTAGGCTAATTAAGGCTGAAAATAAATTCCCCAAAGGGGACACTGAACTGAAATATTTCAGGCAAAATCATTTCTAATATTTTTAATCTAGTCAGGAAATATTAATCATATGCAAGTGGGGGTATGCGTAAAAGAAATGCTATAAAATGCTACATTGTTCTTAGAGCATATAGTCATACAAAACACTGCATTTACTGTCTCCAGAAAATGAAAGTTGAGTTATGCAGTTCATCAACAGGCTTTATTATAGTGTCACATACTTGTGGTAGACTTAAGGCCGTGGGAACTTTTCACTCTTGACTCCTCTCCTTTAAAGAAAACAAATCAAACAACTCTTTATTTTTAAAAAGGGGTACAATACAATAATGGAAATGTGGCTTATAGTCTCTGCTTTTCCCTAATAATTTGAGTAGCAATTGGCAAAACCCAAAAATCTTAAACTCTCTGAGCTCCAATTTCCTCCTTAATTAAGTGAGGTCACAGAGATCCAGAATCCACTTTAAGTAGCAAATTGAGGCTCAATTCAGAAATTAGAATGTGCAGTTCCCATTCAAATAATCCATCTTTAATAAAGATGTGGATCAACATTGTGCTTCTTTTCTCCAGCTCAAGTCTGTAGCAGAATAGACTTCAGAGGAAGGAGGGAGGCATAGAGCTTCTTTCTCTTTCCTTTCCAGCAGTTCTCCTTCTCCCTCAGCCTGCTGACTCTCATTTCTGTCCCTGCTGGTGTCAGAGTGAGGGGTGGAGAGGAGGAGAGAAGTTCTCACTTGACTTTCTTAAGCAGACTTTATGTACTCTTACCAGACTAGGCTCCTTAGAAAAAACCTCTGCTGTCAGAAAGCCCATCTGTGAGTCCATGTCCACGGCCATAACACCTTGAACACACCCAATCTCATCTGAAAACACAACTATGACATCAATGATATATTTTTCTACAACTCTCTGCTCCCTTTTTACCACCCCCAGCACCCCCGAATCCAGAGGTCTACTCTTCAAATTCTCTCTGTAGGAGTCTCATTAAGCCTGCCAGTAGTGGTTCTCCCAGGTAGGAGACACAAAAACTTCAGCCTGGCTGTCTCTCTCTTCTCTCCTCTGTAACACACATCTTGTTCAGGGAAGATGTCATCTATCCCTGGCGAAGCCTGAGAGTGCAGGCCAATCCCAATACAGCCACACCCTTTCACTTTGTGCCCAAAGCTTCTCATCATTTGCTTACTTTGTCCTCTATGTTTCCTGAATTGGACAAAACACAATCCATTGCCCTATTAACTCAGAGGAAACATAGCAAGCTCTTAAGGGGTCCCTCTGAAACTCTACTCTCTTGAGGAGTAAGCACAGAACAACTTTCTCCAAAGATATCCTTTTACACAATTCCTTCCTCCTTGTTTCATTGGCCTGAACCAATTTTTAATCCTCAGTGAAGATTTTAGCCATTTAACCAGCTCTCTGTCACCCTACTCTGAAATTTTGCAAATGCTGTTGTATGGTGTGTCTAACAACTTCACTTGGTTATGTGCTATCTATTTGTTCGTGTTGCTTCAGTTAAAGAATCCAAATATAAACTTACTGTTACAAATGATTTAAATTCTAACAGCCTTCAGAACGTATTATTGCAGTTTCCTTTGTGAATCCTGCCAGTGAATCTCCATTTGTTCCTATAATTCTGGCAATTCATTTTAACATTTTTGAAAGTAAGAGATTTTTAAAATCTTGTCATTATAAAATTATGGATAAGAATTAAGGAATGGCTATTCCTATTAGTTAACATGGTTGGTTATTTGTTTTATTTTTGAAAATTGAATGCTCAATTGAGTTAGGATTTGTTCATTCCTTTTAGAGATTACCCACATATTTAGAGATTGCCACGTGTATGATATTTTTGTGATCAGAAGTTTGAAATATATTTGTAATAAAATCTAATTTTTTTTTACCTTTCTAGGTTTTGGTATTTACCTAAAACACTCCTCCCATTCAAAGACTATGAATAAATTCAACTACACTTTCTTCTAGACTTTTTCACTTATTTTTATATTGTTTTTGTAATGGTAGAATACATATACACATGTGTATACTCATACATCTATCTATACACACACATACATGTGTACATATGTATAATTTATATGTAATCAACTGGATCTGAAGTCCCAACACTAATTATTGAATAATTCCTCTTTCCACACTGATTTGAAATTTAATTGTATCACGGATTTAATTCTCATATAATTTGAGTATATTTTTAATTTTTCTAATTTGTTCCACTTTTTAGAAATCTATTTCTCCTCTCCCCAAAAAGTTTTAAAAATTATAACTTTATAATTAGTAATAATATATTTTAAGTCTATCCTCCCATCTTGAATCTTCATTTTTGAAAATTTTCTGTCTTTTCTTGAGAAAAATATTTTGCTCATTTTCACAAACATATACTATTTTATGGATATTTCAATTGAGACCAAGTTGTATTTATGGATTATTTTTGAACAATTTTGACTTTAAAAAGGTTTTTTCTATTGTGAGTTTTTTGTTTTGTTTTGTTTTGTTTTTAGTGTAAGAGTCTTGCTCTGTTGCCCAGACTAAAGTATGGTGGCACAATCATAGCTCCCTACAACCTCAAACTCCTGAACTCAAGGGACCCTAGCTAATTTTTCCTATTTTTTTTTCTTTTTTTAGAAACAGGGTCTCACTATGTTGCCCAGGCTAGTCTCAAACTCCTGGCTTCAAGCAGTCCTCCCACCTTGGTCTCCCTAAGTGCTGGGATTACAGATGCGAGCTACTACACCTAGCCAGTTTTAACTTCTTTATACAATTATGTCTTCCTTTTATAGTGCATGGTATAGCAATTCATTCACTAAAATACTCTATGGTATGCAGTAGAATTTTAAATTTTCTTCACATAAGTGATATAAATTTTTTTAGCCTCATACTCAGTATTTTATATTTTTGCTTGCTATTGAAAATTGGTTTATGCCTTCATCATATTTACTATATTTAAATAATAATTTTATGTATCACTTACAGAATTATCTCTGTGT